AAAAAAAAGAAAAAAAAAATATATATATATATCAGGTTAGTAAACAAAGAAAAAATTAATATCAAAGAAAAATTATCAAGACCCAGTATCTGGACACCAGTGTCTAGGTACTAGGACCAACATGAAACTTGGGACCAGTAGTTGGATACCCCATATTCATTAAATGGAAAGGAGGTTAGAATAGACCTAACTTCAAAATGCTTTCTCACATTTCTAACTACTCAATGATTATAATCTTTTTCACTACATGCTATAGTTTCTGGTCATCATTCAACTTTATTTTAGTTTTTAACAGTAACATTAAGATGTTATATTCAGTAATAATGAATAATTTTAAGTGTTTTTTACTGTCCAAGTACCAGGTACAGGAAAAATCTTATGTTGTCGAATGAAAGCTATTCTTGGACAGAGTTATTTATACTTTTCGATGTGTTTAACTGATTCTTAAATCGACAATATTTTTGAAGAAGCCATAACAATTATGTTTCCATACCAGTTAAGACAATTTTTTGCTTGGTTTTTGATTTCAGAAAACGTTCAAGGAGATAAAAAATGGAATGAATATAAAAAAATATTTCACGGAAGACTTTGATAATGATAATAATAATTGTGCTCTTCTACATATTAATCAAATTTTGGTATCGGAAGGTAAATCATGTGAGTCTTTTAGTTTACCGNTGCAGTATGCTTCAACGTTTTGTATTGACCATTGTTATGTGCTTTAAAATCTTCGGCTGATGATGCTTCATGCTTTTTATTTAATAATAACTTTAGAAAAATTTGTTTATGGTGTCTATAAGATGTTATAATTAATCTTCCTATTACTGTATTTTTCTAACGTTTTTTCTTGTTACTCAAATCTTAATATTATTTTTAAAAATGTATTCTTCTAGAATATTCGCGTACTTCGAAGATTTTGCAAAATTATCGATTTTATTTAGCTTAAACTAAGCTGTTAAGGGTCTCTGCCATTTTTTAGTGTGTTTTTAATTTTATTTTTTTCTAATATTAATTTTTGGTTGTTCTTAAGATGTGCGGGTTAATTTACTACTTTGAGACTTCTAACGCAAATTGGAAACTCTTGAAACTTACATGCTGCTTTTTTTGGACTTAAAAATCTATAATCAACGTAGTTAAATTTCGTCTAGAGTTCTGTTTTCGAAATCATTTCCTCTTACAAGTTCCACAAACACTTTATCACCGCCTTTGTGAATATAATCAGGATATTCAACATTTATGTGATACTCATATTACATTAATAAAAACTTGTTGTATGGTGCAACGATCTTACATCAGCGGAAGGTTTAGGAAAATTTTTGATACATTTATTATTACGTTTATCTGTGAGAAATCCTTAAGTTTATTTAAGTGTTAAGTATGTGTTGTAGAAATCAATGCAAAGAAACATCATGTACATTATATGAAAAAACATATTAATAAAAAATTATTTAAATGGCATTCATGTCAAATAGTGATTAAAAAACAAATACATTTACGTCGCCACATATTTATTCACAATGTAGAAAATATAAAATATGTTCAGAATGTGGTTATAAATTTTATTTACATGATTCATTAGAAAGACATTAAGTTGATGTACATAAGAAATCAAGTATAATAAAGAATTATTATTACCTAAACACTTGTAAAGAACGCCTTTTTATGTAATTTATGATTAAAGTGATTATTATTCGTTTGAACTTAGCAACACAATCAAGAAGAAAAGTTAATTTCATGGATAACCTTAGAAAATGCTTGAAACATTAAAAAATATTCTTAGAAGAATTAAGTAAATATTAAAGCATATAGTTTTATGTAACGAAATAAAATAAAATAATAGAAAATACTGTTTTAATGAGTTTTTTGTATTATGTTATTTATAATGGTTATGATTAAAATAAAGTAATAACTGTTAGTAACATAATCCAAGACCGATGAAAAAAAAACTTTTTGGAAAGTTTTATAACTAAAGTTACAACTTTTTTAAAAGCAGGAGTAAACACACGAAACGCGCAGGGGGTAAAGCCTCAATAATATACATAAATGTAGAAATAAGGTTAGGCAACTTTTATGATTTTTTTTTATTACTAAGCACCCACTTGTAAAAAAAAGTGTCTTGCACCTGACACGTATTTTAGACTCACGATCACATTTTAATAAAAAGAAAAATTTTAAAAATACAATAAAATAAATAAAAAATTATCGTTTTTTTTAGATTGAAAGCTAATTATGTATTGGTAAAATCACGACGGTATTAACCAATAGAAAACGTGTTGGGGTCTACGGTATACATTTTTTTGCAATTTCAATAACTAGGAGACTTTATCTCCTCTGCACTCTTCTGATGAACCCCCAACTTTTAATTATTTACATTCTAAATAATTATTTAACCAAAAAAGAATGATAACATTTTTAAATGAAAAATCTCCCAAACACTTGCTCAGTTGTTGAAAAAAAAAATAAATAACGCTTAAAATTTGGAAATAGAGCGTGACTGTATTTTAAAAATAATTTACAAAAGCCAATATTTCGACATCCTGCAGATTTTCTCTTCAGGTCTACATGGTATGATAAATATAAATATATTAAAAGAAAATATAGTTAAAAACAAATGTATTGACGAATTAAAAAATATACAATAACAATAAACGTGAGAGGACGCAATTACGTCGCATGAAGCGCGCAAATAAAAATTAGTCACACACGGCTAATGGACAATGACACGTCGAACAAAAGAACTGCATAATTTGTACATACATTGATTTAAAAAAAAAAAATTTAATTTTTGGTCAGGGAAAAGAAAAAACATAGAGAAAGAAACAATAGAGATTCGATACTAAGTAAGGGATCAAAGAGAAAGCATGTAGAGAAATATGAGAAAAGACGAAATATACATGCAATACACGAAAGATAAGATAAACAAAATCAAATTATGCAGTAGTAACTAACTAAAAATCAAAACGCTTGCATAAACTTGTGTTAAACTTCAAGCCAGAACTTCTAATACGTAGGACTTAACTTTTTGGAATCAAGCTGTCGATTAACATTTTTGTCGTAAATTGTAATATAGATCATTTCAGAGAACTCTCTCCAAAATGCATTCTTCCCTTGATCCAAGATTCTTACTTTATCAAAATCAAAAGAGTGCTGAAATTCATTAGATTGTAAGGCTATTGCAAATCTAGGATCATGTTTCTTAACTGATTTAACATGTTCACTCATGCTAATATTTAGTTCTTTAAACAATTCCACTAATCTACCCTTTTGCTGCTCTATCCTTACTTAATCTAAGGATATCGGTTAAGTTACAAGTGTTGGAAAAAATAACTTTAATATTGTAGGTGGAAAACATTTTTTTAACATAATGCTCCAACGGTTCAAAGTATGGAAATACTAAAAAGGAAAGTTTATGAGAACGGTACTCTGTGCATAAAGTCTGAGAATCTACCTTGTGATTTCTGTTATTGGAACATTTAGAAGTTCAATGGAGCATGCTCATCCTAGCTCTAATATACTTTTCCACAAAAAATGAAGGATAAGCATTCAAAGCCAAGACTCTTTTAACCTCAAAATGTTTTGGGTTCTGAAACAAGGGTCAGCAAGTTTAAATACTTTGTCAATCATGGAAAAAATTATAGCTCTCTTTTGTGCCACCGGATTATGCGAGAAAAAGTTTAGACATCTACAAGATCCTGATGGTATGCGATGTAAGTCAATTACACATGCAGCCTCAGAAAATCTGGTAACCAAAGTATCTAAAAAGGGGATCGATTTATTATTATTTGCTTATTCCATTGTGAACTGAATAAACAGATGAAAACTATTTAAAAGTTCCAGTACCTGTAGAACATCATTATTATTAATTATTAGAAAGCAATCATCTACATATCTCATATAAGTTAGAATAGACTGCCCACACCTCGGAGCAATGGATGTTTCAAGAGACTTAAGTAATATTTCAGCAATCCACGGGAAGCAACCACTTCCCATAGGTGTGCCACAAGTCTGACGGTATACTATCTGATTAAATGTAAAGTAATGAGAATTTGCTAAAAAGGCAAAACAATCCAAAAAATTTTTTTTTTATAGCCAAAAGATTCACATGAGAGCTTAACTTGCTGCTCACACAACCTCCAACAAGTGAAAAAGGCAAATTACTATACAGTGATACCACATTAGACGAAACTAAGGAAAAAACACGAGGCACAACAAGTTAATGAAGTCGCTGTCCTAATATCCTCACACTTTTATAGGTATTGTATATTTTTTTAATTTGATAATATATTCGTTTTTAACTAAATTTCCTTTTAATATGTATACATTTTTATACCATGTAGCCCTGAAGAGGGCATCTGCAGGATGTCGAAGTATCGGCTGTTGTAGATTATTATTAAAATACAGTCAAGCTCTATTTCCAAATTTTAAGCGTTACTTATGGATTACATTTCAGTTTATTAATGTGATTAATTGGGTAACTTCAATTTTTATTAAACAAGCGAAACACCAAATATTTTTTTTTTTTAGAAAACTTTTGAATTCATCCGCCCGAAATCAGTCTTAGATAATCACGTCGTGAGTAAAAGGCTTGAATCACATGACATTTTTCTTTTTTTAAAATGATTTTTTTTGCAATTCAAATTGCATCGAAGAATTCTGGAAAAATGTGCTTTTGAAAGATATGATTGATTTTAGAATTATTTCATTGGAAATTTATTTATCATTGTAACGGATTGAAAATTTGTTTTTTTTTATGTATTCGAATCTTCTCTAAACATATTTCAAAGTAAAATTCATTTTCAATGTACTAAATATTAAGGTGTTAGTGTATCTTTACCACAGTTACTGTAACCTTATCGAATTGGAATTTCCTGAGATACGTGAAATCAATAATAATAAAAGATTTATTATATATCTCTGATAAATTAATTATTGGTGGTACAGGCATAGATCGCCCACACCATGTCTTTATTGTTAATATTGCTTGATTAAAGATATTTAAGTATGTCAATATGAAAGAGTAGTTAAAATCGAATGTAATTACGATTCAGGTAAACCGAAGGTAAAAGTAAGTTTAGAAAATTGTCAATTATAAAAGATGTTAACTACACAAACATAGTTATCAGCAGGTGACATTGACTCCTCGACGTTTCTTTTACCTAAAAACTTTTAGAAACATTTAAAAAGGTCTCAGTTTGTGAAAAAATAGTCGTGAAGACACCTTTTTGACTGAAATTATTCTGGAAAACGTTGTATTTGACAACGCTGTACAGAAAATATTCTAAGGCTATTATTTATTTGTAGTAACTAACATAAAAACAAATCACAACAGCAATTAAAACTTGTACGTAAGAGCCAATAAAATTTTGAAATAGTTTATATACAAAACTTATTACTGATCGAGTAGTAAAGCCTTTTGATGTATCACTTAAAAATTCTCCTTTTAAAGAGAATTTTGATGCTGATACTATTTTAACTTTTACAATTTTACCCATGCTTTCTTTTTTCATTGGAATAAGAACTTGCTCATAGAATTTATTGTGACCAACATAATGTTTCTTATCATACGCTATTTCAGTTACCAACACATGTTGTATCTCACCAACTTTATAAGTGTAGGGTTCATACGACTGAAAAAATTCAGAAAGTGTTTTAGTTCTTCTTTTAATTTCTTTTGCTGGAACTTGATTCATTAAAGCAGCTGGTGTTCCTGGTCTAGAAAAAAATTGATTAATAAAAACTGATGGGAACTTATATTTTTTACATAAATCCAAGGTTTTTTCAAAATCTTCTTCGGTTTCATTTGGAAAACCGCATATAATATCTGTTGCAATGGATATTCCAGGAATGTTTTGGTTCAGAGTGTCTACTATGTATTCAAAATCAAATCTAGTATACTCCCTTTTCATATGATAAAGGACAGTATCACTGCCAGATTGAACCGGTATGTGCAAAAAGCTGTACACTTTTGGATTCCTTAATATTTTAATCATTTCATTGAGATGTTGAAGAATGTACGGCGGATTTGTCATGCCAATTCTGATCCGACATTCAGAAGGTACTATGTCAATTAATCGCCAAAGTAGTTGTGGTAAGTTGGTCCCGATATCTCTACCGTAACATCCCGTATCCTCAGATGTTAACCAAATTTCTTTAACTCCTTCACTAAAAGCTTGTTGAGCACGGTCAATAATGTCATTAATTGTATAACTTCCAAGTTCACCACGTGCATGTTTTGTTTTGCAGTACGTGCACTGATTAAGACAACCAGTATTAATGGGAATAATTTCAATAAGTTGATTACGTCTTATTTTAGGCAATAACAGAGATGCCCCTCCTAGTTTTTTCCCCTTATTTTTTTTTTGCTTTAAAAACTTCACAGTATTTCCTTTTAAAGTTTCTTCAACAACTTCCACAACACGATCAATTTGTTGAACTCCAATAATACTTAATCCTTGAATGAACTTTGATTTTGGTGCACCCTGTGGTACACATCTGAAAACAGAAATATATAGAAGATATGATTAGATAATTTCTTGCAATTTAAAAAAGAATCATAGCTTTCACACTAATATGCTCTCATGGTAAAAATAGCTTAGATCAACACACACACACACACACACACACACACACACACACACACATATATACACGCTGGCAAGGCTGGATTTCATTAACTAAGTGTCCACCCTTCCCCCCCTATTGTACTCTTTCGTCCAAAGTCACGTGAGACGAGAGTGCAGCAGGTATAGGTGGATATGTACGTACACGCCAGGGTTTACGCTTTGCGGGTATAGCAACGCCGTCAGTGGCAGAGTCGGCCCTAATGGGCGCGCTTAAAGGGACGAGATGGACGAACGGGTCATTTCGCGAGGACACTTATAAACGACATACAGCCGGGCTATGACCGCGTGCCCGTCTCGCTCGGTCTTTCCGACGCGCGACGAATGAGACGAGCTCCGAGCGAGTGTTATACATACAAGGGGCTTTGGTTGGAGGACGAAAGAAGAAAAGGTCGCTGGTCGCGGTTGCGGGGATGTATAGCAGCTCCCGAGGATGGCCGGGTTTTAGATACCCGGGACACGCGTGGACTTTCGCGCTTCCACCTCCTCTATAAGCTGCCACCCCTCACCCCTCTGTAGCTGACCAACGCTTGGGAGGTAGGTAATGACTTTGGTTTATTAATGATCGGCCGGCTTCTCCACGAGGGCACGTGGATTGCCATACCAGCGACGCGTAGATATTCCCCTTGATAGCCGCGCACTTGCGGCGTGCTCTGCTCCACGTGTAGGTACATGGTATCATGCATACACATGCCACTTCAGATGCAGTGTCCTGATGGAACCGCCGTTGATATATGTATATAAAATAATCACTTTATAGATTGAACGATAGGTTTTCAGTTGTATCTACGAAACTCGGGGGGGGGGGGGAAATTC